AAGCTTCCCAACGAGAAGCAGCCCCTTTTTTCATTTATTTTTTAACACGAGCAAAACAAAAACTGTCCAAAAACGTGGCACCAGCCAAAACCTTCCAATAACAAACAAGCCCACAGGACAGCCAGCCAGCTCTGGAAATGTGAATTGAAGTGGTTTAAGTCTGGCAGGAGCTAAACCCAAAGCCTTACAAATTGAAACGTGTTTTAATGGTAGAAGTGACACCACTTCTGCTTCTCATTACCCCCCGAGTGTTGTGATACTTCAGCCTCAGAGAAGGCAAAGCATCTTGGAAACCCGTTTCCCAGCCAGTGGAAAGCAGGAATCAGTATGAGAATCCCTCAGGAAGCATAGAAATGGGACAGCTTTGATGGCTGGGTGTGGAAATTTGGGGTGTGAAAGCCAGAAGGTGAAATCTGGGTGTTTTCAACCGAGCCCTCAGTGGTGACAGACATCTGGTTATGAGCAGATGTCATCTCCAAACGCATCCCAGATTCCTCTGGAAAACCAAGGAGCAGCAGGAGGGTCAGCTTGGCCAGCTACAGGCTTGAAGCCAGGGGATGAACCTCTGGAAGCTGCCCCAGATGCCCAGGACGTGCTCTTGGATGAGGCTTTTAGTTGAGCAGCTTTCCTACAAACCAGCCTTGTCGGGAGGCCCTGAGTCAACCTTTGCTGCCAAGGAATAATGACATGGAAATGGGAGTCAGAGCAATTAAAAAGTGGTTTGGAGTGAATGCATGGAGGGATAAGTTGCCTCCTGTCATTCACATCCTAACCCATTGTTCACTCAATAAATGGAGATTGGAGATTTTCCTCTATATTTGCGAGTTATTTTTAAACCGGGCTTAAGGCGTTCGGTTTAGCTCTAAGTCAGCACTTCTGGCCACTAATTTGCAGCTATTCCGAGGTGGGAACATGCAGAGCTGCTTCTGGATTTGGAAAAAAAGATGCCAAAATCATCAAATTATTCGTTCTCTTGGTTTTATTGTCCCGAAGAACAGAAAATCTCAGAGCGAAGCACAAACAGACATTTTTCCTGGGAATTTCACAAGGGGCTGTGCCAAGGTCCTCGTGGGAACCAGTAAGGTGGACTGGGAGCCAGTAAGGTGGACTGGGAACCAGTAAGACTGGTTGGGAACCGGTAAGGTAGATTGGGAACCAGTAAGGTCGATTGGGAACCAGTCAGGTTGACTGGGAACCAGTAAGGTGGATGGGAAACAGTAAGATTGATTGGGAACCAGTAAGGCTGATTGGGAACCAGTAAGACTGATTGGGAACCAGTAAGGCTGATTGGGAACCAGTAAGGTGGATTGGGAACCAGTAAGGTTGATGGGAACCAGTAAGGCTGATTGGGAACCAGTAAGGTGGATTGGGAACCAGTAAGGTTGATGGGAACCAGTAAGGTGGATTGGGAACCAGTAAGACTGATTGGGAACCAGTAAGGTTGGTTGGGAACCAGTAAGACTGATTGGGAACCAGTAGGGTGGGTTAGGAACCAGTAAGGTTGATGGGAACCAGTAAAGTTGATGGCAACCAGTAAGATTGATTGGAAACCAGTAAGGTGGGTTGGTTACCAGTAAAGTGGATTTGGAACCAGTAAGACTGGTTGGGAACCAGTAAGGTAGATTGGGAACCAGTAAGGTGGATTGGGAACCAGTAAAGTGGACTGGGAACCAGTAAGGTGGATGGGAACCAGTAAGGTCGATGGGAACCAGTAAGGTGGACTGGGAACCAGTAGAGTTGGTTGGGAACCAGTAAGGTGGATTGGGAACCAGTCAGGTTGATGGGAACCAGTGGAGTTGGTTTCCTCTGTTTTACCTCAACCTGTGTGTTAATTTAATGAACAGTTTCCCAGGTTTTCATAATCCCAGTGGGTTCCCTGTGTGTGACTCCCTGATTTCCTCCCCGCCGGCGTTTCCCGAAGCTCAGGGGGACTCGGGGCTCGTTTTATCCCTCGCTCCCGGATTTTCATGGATCAGCACCTGGTTCTTGTACTTCTCTCCCCAGTCCTCCACGATGTACTGGTGATAGGGGTCGTTGGAGTGCTCCCTCCTCTTGGACTTCACGGTGCTCACCAGGATGGCCACGATGATGAAGGAGAACATCCCGATCATCACCATCAGGTACAGGATGACGTAGTCGAAGTTCTCGGCCGCCACCTGGGCCTGCAGCTTGGTCGCCGCCTCCGTCATGTTCCTCCTCCAGCCGTTCATGTAGCTGAGAAAGGTGTCCTTGAAAATGTCCTCCACCGCCCAGGTGAGGTTCTTCACCTCGGCCATCCTCGCTGCGGACAACACCACGCTCATTTGAATCAGATATCGGTGATCAAACGGTCTCATTGCCGTGTTTGGTCTGTGTGAGGGCAATTCATGACCAACACCCCCTCTGCTGCTTGGAAGGGCCACTTTAAGGCAGCTGAGAATCCCCAGTCTGAGGGCTTGTGGTGGGGAAAAAAGGATTTTTCCCCCTGGAGTTAAAAAAAATGATAACCCCCGAGGGGGTGGGATCTCTTGATGGTGACCCAATCAGCACCCCTGCAAAATTTAAACATATCACACCAGACTGGAAAAGAAGGATGAGGATGTTGTTGGAGGGAGAAAGATTTGATCCAATGTAAATATATTTCTTTACCATGGGAGAGATAGTTAGGATTGTATATATAATGTATTATAATATTTATTTGTGTAATTATTGTAATATAATTCCCTTCCCCCCCCCCATATTGAGTCTTGTGTTGTGTCTGGAAAACCCCTCTCACACTGGGGTGAGTTGTGGGAGGGGGGCTTGGACTCGGAAATTGGATTTTTGGGGGTCTCAAACCATGACAGGGGTTCAGTGTGTTCAGAGACCCAGTGGGGTCTTACTCAGAGTCATGGAATGGTTGGGATTGGGAGGGACCTTGAATATCATCCAGTTCCAACCCCAACACCTTCCACCAGCCCAGGTTGCTTCAACCTGGCCTTGGACACTTCCAGGGAGGGGCATCACAACCTCTCTGTGCCAGGGCCTCCCCACCCTCCCAACCAGGAATTCCTTCCCAATATCCCATCTATCCCTGCCCTCTGGCAGTGGGAAGCCATTCCCCCTTGTNCAACAGCTCTGCAACAGCAGGAAAGTAAAGCCAGGGCTGGGGGTTGGCACTGCTGTCCTGATAAATGGTTTGATCAACATGTTAAAATTGTTAATCATGGAATCATGGAATGGTTTGGGTTGGAAGGGACCTTAAAGACCATCTTGTTCCAACCCCAACACCTTCCAATATCCCAGGTTGCTCCAACCTGGCCTGGGACACTTCCAGGGATCCAGGGGCAGCCACAGCTTCTCTGGGAATTCTATCCCAGCCCCTCACCACAGTCACAGGGAAGAATTCCCAATATCCCATCTCTCCCTCCCCTCTGGCAGTGGGAAGCCATTCCCCCTTGTCCTGTCCCTCCAGCCCTTGGAAATAGTCTCTCTCCATCTTTCCTGGAGCTCCTTCAGGCCCTGCAAGGCCACAATCAGGTCACCCCAAAGCTTCTCCTCTCCAGGCTGAACAATCCCAGCTCTCCCAGCCTTTCCTCCCAGCAGAGCTGCTCCAGCCCTGGGATCATCCAGGTGGCCTCAAGAGGTCTCTTTGCTCTCTGGGAAGCTTTGCTGAGGGCCAGGGAGTTTGGGCCCCCCGAGCCACCTCAGTGGGGTTGAGGGACAGTCCCTTCCCTACAGAGGGGAGACACCAAGAGCAGAAGGATTTCTCCTGAGGAGAAGCCAAAGCAGATGTCAGGTCCTCTAAGGGCTGGCAGGTTCCACTCCAGCCACTTCCCGGGGTTTCTCAGGGAGGGATGGGACCTTCCCACCCAGGGCGAGGCTGATCCTCATCCCTATGGACACAGGGAAGTGAATTCCTTCAATTCCTCAGGCCAACCAAGCCCTCCAAGCTGTGGAAAGCTCCCAAAAAGAGCCACTTGATCTCAGGTCAATCCTCCAGCCACGAGGAGTTTGCTGCAGCCTGGGGCAAGAGGGGGTGGATTTTCAGCATTCATAAGAAATTTGGGGGATCTTTCAAACTGGAATTCGGGAATTCCTTGGATTTTTGGCCCAGTCTTGTGTGCACACACAGAAGGATGAAGGTCCACATGCAGATTATACTGAATTATATGAATTCAGATTATACTGATATTATACTCTCACACATGCTCAGGCATAGAGGATAAAGGCAATTAATGAAATTATAAGCAAATATAAATACAAACTACCTTGAAACTTTTCTCTCTGTAAAATCTCTCTGCTTTTGCTTTGATTCAGAACAAAAATTGCTCTGCTTTTTCAAGAGAAAATAAAGAATTACTGACAGAAACTTGCCTGTGTCTGTAAAAATCTGTAAAATCTCTGCTTTTGCTTTGATTCAGAACAAAAATTTCTCTACTCTTCCAATAGAAAATAATTATGGAGAGAAACTCACCTTTCCCCGTGTCCTTTTCCAGGAGATTCACTGGGGAGTTCCAAATTCCACTGGATAATAAGGTGATAATCTCCAAAAGAGAGCAGCCTCCAGCCTGCTGGACGTGACAGAAGTGCCTTGCACTGCACACTTTGTGTGTATATTCAGGGAAAAGCTCAATCTAATCTCACCTGGAAAGTCAAATATTGGCCGAGAGCTCCCGTCAGTCATCCCGTGGGATGCTGGGAACGACTCTTTGTGCCAGTTGTTGGGAATTCCTGTGTTTTAAAAGCATTTCTGTGCTTTCCTGGGGGTGGATGGAGATGCAGCTCCGTGTCTGGTGACCCAGAGGGGAGAAGGGGGAAGATGAGCTCTGTGAAATAATAAGAGGAATTATTAAGAATTAGAATGATTCCCTGTGAGGAAGCAGGGAATTCCTAAAGCAGGGAATTCCTAAAGCAGGGAATTCCTGAAGCAGGGAATTGCTGCTGTTCCCAGCAGTGGGTGGGTTCTGTGTTGGAAGGGGGTCTCCTTGCCCAGGGCAGGGGTTGTTTTCCCCCCACACTCCCGGGG